GGTACTCGGAGGAGGCCCTGTCTCACTCTCTGTCCGCGGTACTCGGAGGAGGCCCTGTCTCACTCTCTGTCCGCGGTACTCGGAGGAGGCCCTGTCTCACTCTCTGTCCCCTCTTCTGTCCGCAGTACTCTGAGAAGGCCCTGTACACCCAGCTCTGCTTCTACAGCTTCATCTTTGACTGGGACCACAGTGTCCAGAAAATGCAGGCCAAGTCCGATAAGGGTAAGGTGCACTCCCACACACCCGCATTCCCACACGCACACATGCACAGACTCCTCTGCTGACCAGAGTGTATGAGATGTGAGCGGCCTGCCCCCCACCCCCGATCCTGTCTTTACCATAGCATGGGAAACTGCAATTATAGCCGGGGGGGCAGGGGGTTCTCCCACTGCATAATGGGAAACAGAATTGTGGGTGTTACCAAACCAAGCAGAGGCTGAGTAACAGGAAGGAATCCCAAAACGCAGCATGGCTGAGCTCGATTCTGCTCTCGGCACCTTAAACAACCCTGGCAGGAAGTATACAGCGGCTGCTGGTAGTGAATAGACCCCTCCCCCCGTCTTTTTGGTTGAGGCTTCGCCCTCTCCGGATGTGCTGCAACTTGGGCACACTGGTTCGTGGTGCGTGGCTTGATGTTTCTGAAATCGATTTACTATCCTGTGAGTTGCGGCCTGCCTGGTGCTGGCTTGCAGCCGGGAGTGTGGAGAGTAACTAAACCCGGGGGCGGGGGACCCGCTGATTAACAGCCGGCACAGCACTCGATTCTTGCGCCCGAGTGCAAATAACGGCGAAGCAGGCAGCTTCAGCGTGGGGGCGGGGTATCTCAAGGACGGCCGTCCTGATTTAAACGACAGACTCAATCAGGGGCCAATCAGTGGCGAGCGAGCCGGCTGGTGCCGGGGGGGTGCGGGGAGGAAGAAGCGGCCCACGCCACAGTCAGACAGGACCTGCGTGTTGATTGAAAACAATTTGTAGATTGGGGGAAATGATAGGGAGAGTATCAGGCCGTCGGGGAGGACGGTGGCCCTTCAGGGGCGGGGGAAATGATAGGGAGAGTATCAGGCCGTCGGGGAGGGCGGTGGCCCTTCAGGGGCGGGGGAAATGGAGCGGATCTCCCAGGCTCGCCTGCACCGCGTGCCTCTTCTGATTGGTGTCACTTGATTAAAAAAACAACCCCCCCCCCAACACATGCTTATTTATTTCTGTATGTGTGTATGAATATATGTATGTATGTACGTGCATGTGGGCTTGGCCGTCTCAAGAGGGTGGGGGTGGTGGCAGCTGATCAGAACATGTAATCAGCAGATGACCACTCAGCCCTTCGCAGCGGCAAATGGCCGCAGGCCCCGTGTGATTATCTGCTCCCCGCTTTCTTGGCAAGCCTCAAACGGCGGCTGGACGGTTGTTGTATTACGTTTCTAATGTGTGGAATGTGTAGCACAGTAACATGCACACCGATATTGACCTTAATCCTTTGAACTCTGACTCCTGTCCCACAAGCCCAGTCCTGCATCCTCTACAGCGCGGTGCCGCTGATGCCTGTGGTGTGGGATTAACAGACTTTCTGAGGTCCCTGATGTGGGTCCCGCAGTTGTAAAGTATAGCCCTGTCCCCCGTACCAGCACCCTGCCTGTCATTGAGCCCAGTGTCACCCATTACTGTATTAGATGGCAGCCCCATGCCAGCACTTCCCTGAGGAGCTGGCTGCTGATTAGAGCAGAGGGAAGGTGGTTTTCCTGGGGGACAGTGCTGCTTCAGCTGCCCTCTGCTGGGAGTGCGTTTAAGCTGTCTGTGGGGGTTAGTGCTAGCAGGTGTCCATCATTAACCATTTGTAGTGGATTAGTGCTTGCCAGTGTCTTTGGCCATATGTAGGATTGATACCGGTCAGTAACTCTTATTGGCGGTGTGAGGGGGATTAGTGCTGGTCAGTGTCATGTTGCCTGTATGTGGGGATTAGTGTTTGACAGATACCCTAGTTAGCTGTGTGGGGGATTAGTGCTGGCTGGTGTCATGTTGCCGGTATGTGGGGATTAGTGTTTGACAGATACCATAGTTAGCTGTGTGGGGATTAGTGCTGGACGGTGTCATGTTGCCTGTATGTGGGGATTAGTGTTTGACAGATACCCTAGTTAGCTGCGTGTGGGATTAGTGCTGGTCGGTGTCATGTTGCATGTATGTGGGGATTAGTGCATACAGAGACCCTAGTTAGCTGTGTGGGGGATTAGTGCTGGTCGGTGTCATGTTGCCTGTATGTGGGGATTCGTGCTTGACAGAGGCCCTAGTTAGCTGTGTGGGGGATTAGTGCTGGTCGGTGTCATGTTGCCTGTATGTGGGGATTCGTGCTTGACAGAGACCCTAGTTAGCCGTGTGGGGGATTAGTGCTGACCAGTGTCTCTCTGGCTGTGTGTGGGAATCAGTGTTGCCTGGTGCCTCATTGGCTGTGTGAAGGGATTAGTGCTTGTCAGGGATCCTTATTGGCTGTGTGAGAGGATTAGTGCTGGCCAGTGGCCAGTATATTTATTGCTCGCATATAAGGTAATTAAATGGACAGCGTTGATATTTACTGAATTTTGACTATTTCAAAACACAGTACAGCTGTTTCAAATGCTTTTCAAATTACAGTACTGTAAAAATTTTATTACCTACTGAACTGTGCATAATTCAAATACGCTATAATATAGTACAGTACCGTACATAAAATACAGCTTATTGTAGTTTCACTGCTGCATCTCTGGTCATTTTTGGTAGTTTATCATAAACTTTTGTTGAGTCTATATTCATAATTGAGAGAAAATAACTTTCTTTTTCCCCCGTCATGTTTTCTGTGCTTGCGGCATTAGTCTCACGTAGCTAGCCAGAAGCAGACGAGTTACTGCAAGGCAAAGTAGGCAAGCTAAAAAACAAATTACCCTAATTCAATTTTTTTTAGATGTTATATATAAAAAGACCCAAAATTAACACTGTAAGCAGACTACTTTATAAGTGAATTATTTAAACAGTATTTGTACATGAATAATTCTGTCCCAAGCTTTTTTATCCATATAAGCAGCTGATCACTATAACTGTGATCACTATAAGCAGTTTCCACTGTATTTTAAATATTGCTAGTGTTGAAACCAGTTGGTGGGACTACCTTTGGTAGCTAAGACAGTTTATCCGCAGTGTTTTTTGTTTGGTTTCGTCTTCACTGAAGCTGCAATGTGTCCAAATGAAGGACACTGCATTTCTCTTTGGTACAAGCTGATGGAGTTGCTCAGTCAGCTCGGTATTTGAGTGCTCCTTCACGAAGCTTCCATGTCACAGACTGGACAGGGCAGAGTCATGTGACAACACATGCGGTAATGTGTTTTTAAGGGGACAGAAAATGAACCCACACCAACAGAATTACTAATTTTTTTTTAAAAAACGAAGTAAACGATATGGGCAACATTAGAGGTTCTAAATGTCCTAATTGCCCAGCCCTACCAGTGTCTCTCATTGGTTGTATATGAAAATTAGTGCTGGCTAATGTCTCTTTTACTTTGTGTTAGGATTAGTACTGGCCATTGTGTTTCATTGCCTGTGTGGTGGAATTGCTGCTGGCTGGTGTCCCTCCTTGGCTGTTTATGAGGGATTAGTGCTGGCCGGTGACTCTGATTGGCTTTGTGTGTGATCAATACCCACCTTTCCTCTTTCAGGTCAACAGAGGGTTCACAGTTTTACCCACGTATGATTGGCTAGAGTGTCGTGGGGAGGGTTGTGATGTCAGTGTCTCCTCTCATCCCCCAAAGCGTGGCTGTGGTCCCTACCATCCCGTCCCCCTATAGGGGCAGGTCTGTCCCTCTGCCTGCCTGATGAGGAAGGATGGGCTTTTACAGCAAGCACCATGGCCGCTCTCAGGTGCAGTGGGGAGCCGCTGTCGACCAGCCACCCCATCACCGTCGAGGGTGTGTCTGTGTGCAGGGGCACTGTGTCCTGGGGACGACCTCTACCTGGGACCAGGCCGCCTGAAGCACGCCTCCTGCTGGCTGCTGTAAAGGGAGCGTGGGCTGCCTCATTGCCATGCGGCCCATCACCCTCTCTGCCTGATTGCTGGCTGCCTAGTTCAATGTGAAAGCAGTAGGACATTTTCCGGAATAAAACGTTCTGGGCAGGGAAAAAAATTTAAATATCCAATATCAATGACTTCCAAATCATTTTGCTCTCTGATTTTATTCTTATTGTGAAGAGCAATTCATTTCCCCACCTCTCCTCTCTGTCTCTCTCTCTCGTCCGTCTCTGTTCCCCTGGTTTAAGTATGACCAGTGTGATTACTCTACCACTGTAATGTAATTTCACTGCATTGATAAAATAAAAATGGTCCTTTATCCATTTCCTGATAATGCTCAATTTGCTGGCTGGCTCCCTGCCCCCCCACCCCCCACGGGGGGACCCCCTTAGCCCCGGGCCTGTGGAAATCTGCCGGTACAATTGTCAAATCAATTATTCATTCTCTGCAATTATACTGGCACAAAGAGCATTTCTGCGCACAGAGTGATGATTAAATTAACAGCTCTTCCAGCTGCCTGATAACAGCTAATAGAATATTCATAAGCAAACCAAAATGGAAAAGATTATCTCCATTAACTTCATCATGTTCACTTAATTACATGCTTGTTATTGTATTTACACCTTGTTAGAGCAGGAAGGTGCTGATACACTCGCCTGCCTCGCCGAGCCGTGGGCTGCTGGGCCACGGCCCCTCTTCGGCAGCCCCCCCCAGCCCTATTTTTCCCGCTGGGCTGCAGCGTCACTGGCTGCCTGACAGACTCGCTGCCTCTTACCTTCTCTTCTCTCGGCTGGGAGAGAAAGGGAATTATTTTCCGTCTTTCAGACATGATGACATGATTGCTTTCAGCCTATCATTCCTCGTCTTCCCTAGCCTTTCTTCCTTACTCGTCGCACCCCCCATCCCCCCCAAAGTAAATAGTCTCTGCTAAGTGGACTTGTGCCAGCCGCCTTCCCATCCTTGCCTCGCCCCCCTGCCCTGCGCCGCCGGTGACCCCTGACCCTCTGCAACGACTTTATTTGGCCAACAGCATCTGATAGTCTCAAGTCAAGTGTGAGAGAACGAAACCTCCTGCAGGGGGCGCCGCGTTTGTATGTGCACTATGGGGGGAGGTTGGGCATTACACAGAGAATTGCTGCTATTTGTCAGTGTTAATTGAACAATTGTCATAGTTTGTTGCCTGAAGCCCCCCGCCCCCCAACCGCACCACATGACTCTGGCATCTTTCGGCGGCCTTGTGGCCAGCACAGGGCCTGCTTCCTCTCCAGTTCCGTTCCAGTTCCACTTTGATTCCTCTCCTGTCATTCTCTGCTTCCTTTTCGGTTCCTTTTCCAGTTCCAGTTTGATTCTTCTCCTGTCCTCCTCTGCTTCCTCTCCAGTTCCTTTATCCCTCTCCTTTACTGCTCTGTACTTTCTCTAAAGCATATCAAATGGTCTGTGTTGCCTGTGACAATGCCCTCCTTCCCCCAGCCCCCTGGAGGAGGTCTGGCATCCTGTACTGTGCCAGTACTGTGTCTCCGGGGCTGCTCAGAGACACGGCCCCAGGAGGGCCACCCGGCTCCCAGTCAGTGCTCAGGCTGGATAATTCCGTGCCTCTGTCTTCTGTGCGTTTCTGGTTATCCCTGTTAACTCTGCTCTCACTTTCCGGGGGGGTGCGGAGGCCGTCCGACACTGTCAGTCAGGCACAGCTGTTCGATATAAATAATCCCCCCTTTCTGTAACCTGGTGGGAAAAGTCAACACACCCTCTGAGGGCTAGGTAAATATAACCCCCACCCCCCAGAGGCCCCTGTTCCTCCCACTGCCGACGTGCTACACCCACAGTTATACAGTGACACACCCAAAAAACCCCATGAGTTTAGACCCCATTTTGGTCAACCCCCCCCCCCAACTCATACCTGCCTCTCCCTTCCCCCCACAGATCATGCGAAAAAATGGCAGAATGTGGAGACCACCTACAAGCATCTGAAGCAGGTGCCCGATCAGGCCCTGTCCAACAGCAGCTACTCCGAGGTTGACCTTGGCAAGCTCTTTGGGGGCCTGTGTGCCGCCTTCTAGCCAGCGCCCCCAAAACAGGGCCGGCCGGCCCCCTTACTTGACAGCTGAGCCGTCCGCTCAGTGAAAAGGAAACGGAAGGTATTGGGCGCCGCCCTTGGCTGCTCATTCACAACCATTGAAATGGAATTTTTTTAAGGTGGGGGGGGACTTAGCATTCAGAAGTAAATTGGACTAACGGAATGTGAGTTTGTGGATCGCCTGGCATTGGAGGGATGGGTCTGTAAAGTTTACCTTACATGTGAAATAAAGTTTTGTATGTTTTAAGCTGCACCCCCCAGGCGTGTGATTGGTGTGCTGGTTTCACATGCCCCCCCCCCCCCCCCCCCCCCCCCCCCCCCCCCCCCCCCAAGGCGTGTGATTGGTGTGTTGGGTTCACATCGCCCCCTTTTGTCCTAGGGCCCTAACAGGCGCTCGCTTGGCTCTGCCAACACATGCTGCGATTTAACAGGCGACAGCACAAACAAAACGAGGAAAAAGCCCCCGTCTGTTTGTGGGGGGGAGCCGCCGTCCTCTCAGGGTAGCTGTGAGGCCCCCCACCCGCTCCTCACATCTCTTCCTGCTCACCAGCTTTGGCTGCATGCCCACTTGGTGGACAGCCCAGGGTTCGAGAGGCAGCACCCTCTTTTCCAGGTACCTCCTCCCATCCAGAGCTTGCCTATGAGTCCCTGACTTCCCACGCAGTCAGCAGCTTTCTGGCCAGCCTCAGTTATCGCTGCCGCTCATCATTTGATGTCCTTCTCCACACTTGAAAGAGTAGGACTTTTGGGATGGTGGCTGAACAGCCAGTTCTTCTGTAGTTGAAACAATCGAGATGAACCTGCTTCCGGGGTCTTACTGTTAATGGTCATAGCCATTTAGAGTCATGAAATGCCAAAAAATGGTGACTAAAGCAGTGTGTACGGAGCACAATCATGCTATTTGTACAGCTTGATGCTTACAAAAGCTCTTCCAGTAATGTACCAGTGGTGAATCTTTTACCACTGCGCCCCCTTGTGTTCGGGAGAGAGAAGTGCCTTTCAGAAATGCCTGGTGGGACCCTGACGCTCAGTCTTCACCGTTGATTAGTCCTGCGTCCCCCAACCTTGCCGCGAGATACTGACACGTGTAGCTCTAGCGTTCACTCGCCGTCATTACGCCCTATTTTATTCCCTAACGGCAGATGCACAGTTTCTTAATTTTAAACGTGCTTTCTAAGTTGTATTTTTCAGCTAAAAGCGCCTGTTTTAAATTTTGATCCTAAGATATTTGAAATTACAGCTTAAATTTCCTCTTAGTAATAACAAATCGACGCGCCCGCCGGCCCATCTCCACTGCCTTTATATGATTAGTTGAGGACTCGCTTTGTGCCATTTTCCTTCGCGGAAATTCTTATTTCCATAAATACTTGCCTTTAAATCACTTTATATTGCGCGGCTAATGGCTGGTATTCTGAGTGGCGGCACACTTAAGAATAAGACTTGATGCGGCTTAGATTGTGTCTGCGATGGGGGTTGGGGGTGTATATATTCCCAGTTATTTATATATTTATGAAAGAGAAAAATCACGTCGGCTGTGCGGTGGGTAAAACGCTTAACTGGTGCTATTCACACCATTCGGTTTTTATTGCAATCGGCCCCGTTAAGTGACGGCCCCGCGTCTCCGATCCCTTTGCACCGGGCGGGGGGCTGTTTTCGAACCGCGGCGCTCAATAGCAATGGGCTTTGCATTAATTGAAGCACTAAGCTAATAAGTAGGATTGGTCTTGTTATGCTAAGCTTTATTGCCTTTCTCTCTAATCAGCATGGTGGCGTTGAGCAAAGCCGCGGACACGGCGCTCTTTCATGAGAGAATTAGTGTCCTATTCTTTGCCCATTATTCATATCATAGTGGAATATGTAAGTACCCGGGGGTGTGAATGCGCGGGGGAGCCATTGCAAAGTGTCCCCCTTGTTTCTCTGAATGGACAGCTATGAGATGATAAACCGCTTAATGCACTGAACTAATTGGATGAGAGCAAAAGAGCCGGGAATTAAGGCAAGCCGAAGAAGAGTAGAGAGCGCTAGCGACCGGTCATTCAGCTTTTCAGCGCGCATTCCCCTCGGCGGCTCCAAAGGCAGGCGAGGGGGAACCTCAAAGCGGCTTACGGAAGGGCCGCGCCCCGGTGGGATCGTTAAAGAGCCATTTGGGACGGCGTGCTAACGGGTGACGGGCGAGGTCTTTAATCAGCCCAACAAAAACGGCTGTCCGGCTTCAATTCACTGCTTTATACGGCGCCTTAAAACAAATAAAACAACTCTTGCATTTTATTCAGGCTCACTTAAACTGGCGTTTCCGCCGTGTTATATATCTTAATATGTAAAATATATTCTTAGTGTATGATAAGTAACAGTAATTTGTTTTTGGGGCGTCGTCGTTGTTCCTTACTTAGAAAGCATGTCCCGGTTTTTTCTTCGGGATTACGTTTTTCGTTAGGTTTTTTCCCTTCCGCAAAGAGCACGAAGCCGAGCTGGCAATTGGGGCGACGGTTTTATTTTTTAAGCGCCAATTTTAGACGAAAAACGAGGTTTTTAGAAGAAGCTTGGGCGCGGAGCGCGGGTCAGCCAACCTCCGAACTGTAGCGAACATTCCAAGAAATTAGGAACAAATTGGGTTGCTATTCATTAATAATACTCACAATAAGATTAAGCCGTTCTGGAAAATCTCATAAAAATCCCCCTAAACACGCTTCACTGGTCTTTCTAGAAGGAGGGGGAGAGAAAAACCTTGTTATTCACGGCTCCCAGGGCTCGCAAGGAGAAAATTGGTTTCTTTGCTTAATGCTCCTTTGAAAAGACACTCTGAGTTTGTCATGCGTGACATGTCAATGTTTAATATGGACCTGATGGAGGTCAGGAGGTCCTCGGAGCGCGATATTTCTGGAGAATATTAAGAGTAGAATTAAACCTGATCCAGATGGAGAAAGCGGAGCTCCCGCCCTCTCCGTCGCCTCATCCTCCTTTATTTCCCCTCCCTCAGATCCCACTTGTTTGCAAGCCTAGAATGAGACGGGATTAGCGAGTGTAAAACAAGAAAAGTGAAAGCTTTTCACCGGAGCAAGCGATAAAGAAGAAAATTAATCCGAGGGGTAATTTCACGCGATTTGGTTCAGCACCATGGACGGGTCAAATGGGGGAAAAATGACTTCAGTGAAAGCGGCGCATTGATTGCGGTAATGGCACTGCCTCTGCGGCGAGATCCAGCGGGGAGGATTTGAGAATTAAAGCGCCAACTCAAAAGAAAGGGATTCTGATAAACTAGTTGTTACTTCATTAATGAGAAAAGACCCGCTTCGACTGAGTTGGCATCACAGATGTTAAAACCAATTTGGCGCCTTAAAAGTTTTTTAAAGCGTGTTTTGTTAACAGGCCGACATAATGAGCATTATGATTTAAATCCCAAATCCCCAGCTTTTGTCTGCCTTCAAACGTTGAGTTTGTTTCTTAAATATGGTCCATTAATGAAACACGTTTAGCCCGGTGCCTGTTGCGGCGCTGTGGGTTCAGACACCGTTATTTTCTCTTTATGAATTTGTTTTTTATTGACCGGTGTGTAATTTTACTTTACTTTTGGCGTATTAGCGGTATTGAATTGGTACCGTCAGCATCAGTTAAATTTATTATCCCCATTAAGGTTTTCTAAAATGGTCAGCATCTATATTTGATGATAAAATAGTCTCTAACTTAACCATTACTACTTCGCGTGTTTTCTCTGTGCGGGGAGCTGCAGACCCCGATCTAGCAGCAGCAAACTGGCACCTAATCGAACCCATCGGTACAATCCGAACACACAGAGTTTCGCCTGAATAGTGAAGCGCGGACTCTGAATTTATTTTTCTTTAAAATGGCTACAGGCAAACTAAACAATATCATTAATTAGCTGCTCCCATGTCGGTAAAACGTTTTTGGTGGTTTATTTGAGTTACTGGCTAATAGTTAAAACTGAACTGTTATGATATCCGTAGATGTTTTCCCGGTAAGCGCTCTTCTCCGATTTCAGCGTACATGTGTAAACCAAAGCCCAATATCTTACGAAGCCGTATCAATATTTGCTGTTTCAATATTTGACGGTAAATTGGCTCTTTATCACGGCGAGGCTCTCTTCCTTAAGCCAGACGTGAAATAAAGGCATTGTTTCTCCGTCAGAGTTTGTTGCCATGCAGGGATAGTAAAAATATATACTGGTCTCCATAAGTAAGAAGCCCAATTATAGATGAGAGACGGGGTTTCATTATTTTACTAAATTCGGCACACGCACAGAAGTGTTAGGTACTCTCTCTCTCTCTCTCTCTCTCTCACACACACACACACCTACCTGTCAACTACCAAATTAAAGGAACCTACATAAATATAAGTACGAGATAATTGTAGGGTAAAACCATGTGCATTCGTAAGAAATCATGCGAAATGACTGAGTTAAAATTCTTTCTATATTTAATAATTTTCCTGTTTTTTGTAAGAAAAAAGTCATAATGGAGTTGTCATATTTTTATTTTATCCCATTGATTCGTTAAATTCTTTTATTCTAAATAAATTCTAAATAATCATTTTTTTCTGTTTACAAGAAAAACTGACTCCAGTCTTTCTACGACTCTACTGCCCTTTATTACCTAAAATTTCTTTCCTAAAAGAAGGAAGAGAAATTGCCTGAAAAGGAAACGCACACGGGGATGTACCGTGCCTATTCCGTATGATAAATTATATGAAGGGACGTAGTCAAACAACCATTTTTCAGTGCACGCTTTATGTACAGTGCAGACGAACTAAGGTGGTGCTTCTCCTCTGCGGTTTGGTTTTATTTCTGCATCGGGGCCCCGTCCGGATGGAAGAGTACAGACGCGCTACAGAAGAAACGACATCTGCCGTCCGCAGCCTCCTCCAGCTTGCACGTTAAATAGAGGATGGACATAAATAAAATGCTAGAACCTAATATCTCATGAACACAGGAAAATCCTACAGAGCAACATTCAGACAAAACTACATCAAGTGCAACGTCTTCAAACGTTTTTCAAATATACAGGATTCTTTTTCTCTCACTCGCGTGTCTTTTTTTCTAAATCCAAATAATTGTTTCGAGTGATGCGTAGAATTCCTCATAGTTGGCAGAGATCATGTGTCCTGGTAGAGGGCATTTCCCTTTGGCATGCTGCCCTCAGTGCCCGCCCATCCCCCATACACCCAGGCTTCACCGCACCTGCAGTGCCCCCAGGGGTCTGGCTGGTGGGGGGGGGTGTTAAGGGCCCAGATGCCACAGGAAGTGGAAGCAAGGGTGACAGGAAGCTTTGGCTGCTGGACACCTGAGCTTGGCAGTCCACACTGACAGTGGGTGGGGCAAAGACCAGAATCAAGACCCACATTCAGGATGGGGTGGAGGAGTTCAAAATGAAGACCTGCAGCCATACATTGGAGGGGGGGTGAAGAGAGCCCAGGATCTCAAAAAAAAAAAGGATCAACTCACAGGGTTAAAGGTCAGAGGTCATCATTCTTCTGCAGTATCAGACCCATGCAGGTTAATGGGTACATGGTGACACTGGGAGGGGGGGGTCATATGGGGGCAGGTCTCCGGAATTTTCCAGATTCCAGTCCTCCTAAAATTTGGTCGTGCTCATGTTGTGGGGCCTGGAGGTGGGCGTCTCAGCACACCTCCTTGCCGGCACCCCCGGGCGGCAGGATGCTGAGCTGCGTTAGCTGTGCCGAGTGCTCCTTGGCCTTCAGCCTGAGTGCTGCGATGCTGGAAGCACGCCGGTCTGCTGCCGCTGATGACGATGAAGAGGAGGAGGAGGAAGGGTCTGGCAGCGCCGCTGCCTGTCCAGGGCCCTCCGTTGGCGGGGCGGGGTTCCGCAGGAGCGCGGCTGCTGTGGACGCACTGGTCAGGGGGCCCATGGAGAAGAGCCTGCAGGGAAGAGAGAGCGGGTGTCAGCACATGGCACCTAAGTGGGCAGTGCTTAAAGCCCAGGGAGTTGTTGGGTCAAGTCCCAGGAAGATATATCTACCTGGAAAAGAAGGTAAAATCTGTGCACATGGAATTTCTGTTGTCCTCCATTGTGCCACCTTCTGGAATTTTCTCTCATGCCATTATAGTGGCATGTGGACCGGCTAGCTATTGCAGGTAACATCATTTTACTGAATATTAGAGATTAAATCCGATTTCTCCAAAGTTTCCTTTACTTTCCTATCATGTTAAAAAAATTCAAAATTATTTTTTAGTTCTAAAATTTTAAAAACACAAAGTCTTTTATCGATACAATGTCCAGATCATACTTTCACACTCTGCAAATGTTTCATTAGGTACCCCTGCATAGAAGCAGGAAGGATCCCCTTTGTCTACAGAACCTCTTCAAGGGCTGACAGGTTCTGCATTCAGAGAATCCTTTCTGCACACCATTGCTGTCCTGAGCTGTTATTTTTACACTTGTGACCTTGCTGTTAGTGCTAACGAGCCAGTCCATTCTCTTCTGACCTCTCTCATGAACAAGGCGCTTTCACACACAAAAATAACATTGACTGGATGTTTTTCTGTTAATCCCACCATCCTCTGTAAACCCTAAACACTGTAATGCATGGAATCCCGGGTGGCTGGCTGTTTCTGAGATGCTGAAACCAAAGAGACTTAAAGCTCAGCCTCTCAGTGAATGAACCTCCTGACCCTGTCTGTGTGTGCGTGTGTGTGTGCGTGCCTGATAGGCTGCTGTATGCGTGCAGCTACAGAAATACATTGCATACAGCTACATTGCATTAATGAGCAGGTCTACCTCATATACTGGCCACTAAGTGTGTATATATATATTATTATTCTTTAAACATGAATATCATACATGCACACAAAACAAATGGTAATTAGTAGTGAGCCACATGGTCACCAGGCTGATATCTCACCAGAAATATTAAACTATGGCTCAGTGCTGGTATCCATCCAAGTGTGTCTGCTTCCAGATTGTCCCTCTCTAAATTCATTAGCGTGGTACTTTGATAAGACCAAATTAACACCTCCTCGGGCAGCTTGTGCCATGGCATCCAGTGCTGGATGAACTGTTGCCATCCCCCACAAGCAAAATAAATAAATAACTTCAGCAGAAATAATACATGCCTTCCCACAGCTAATGACACCCCCTTCCCTCCAGCCTCACTATGTCGGAGTGGGGTGAGCTGCCAGAGCACAGACTCTTCCTCACCAAGCTGTGAAGTAGCCTGAAGGAGGAACTTCCTGTCCTTACAGTGTAGAGAAACAACAAGTCCTGCTGGCGGGGGGGCAGTGCTGTCAACATCAAAGCTAACTGTGCTACCTTGGAATGTGTGGGAGGAACCACATATGAGGTGGAGGCCATGGAGATACGGAGAGGAGGACTTCACGGGGATGAGGAACCGGTCTATCCCATCGGGGGAGGCCATGGAGATACAGAGAGGAGTACTTCATGGGGAGGAGGACATGGTCCATCCCATCCGGGGAGTCCATGGAGATATAGGGAGAAGGACATGGTCCATCCCATCGGGGGAGGCCATGGAGATACGGAGAGGAGGACTTCACGGGGAGGAGGACATGGTCCATCTCATTGGGGGAGGCCATGGAGATACGGAGAGGAGGACTTCATGGGGATGAGGACACGTTCCATCCCATCGGGAGGAGGCCATGGAGATACGGAGAGGAATCTAGTATGTGGGACATGTGACCAACAGTGAAATGGCAAGTGGCCACGATGCCAATGCTCCGCTAGTGGCAGGGATATGGACACCATGGCGATCAATACTGAGTTAAAGCCTTGGTGACCTGGCGTGATGGTGGACAAAACCTGAAGAGGATTCCTGCTTACTGCGGTCGCTTGGGGGGGACACAGATCGATCTGGAAGGCAGTGTCTGATGCTTGCTATGTTAGCATCCGCTTCTGTTACATAGACTGGAAAGCGGGGTGTGCACACATGCTGTGCTGTGAGGGGCAGGGACTACAGCACTGCTTGGGTAGGAAAGACCACAGGACACCATGCCAGACTCTGCAAACTGTGCTCAGTATACAGGGTCTTTGATGTGATGTGAAAGGGTGAGGAATTTAGCCTGAATAGTGGGTGTGGTTAAACTGAGGTCATATGAGAATAGTGGGTGTGGTTAAATTAGGGTCATATCTGAATAGTGAGTGTGGTTAAACTGGCATCATATTTGAATAATGGGTGTGGTTAAGTTGAGGCTGTATTTGGAATAGTGACCTTAAAATGAGGTCATACCTGACTGATGTGTGTAATTAAGGCAGGATTATACATGGATAGTGGATATGGTTAAGGCAGGTCATATCTGAATAGTGGGTGTGGTTAAAGCAGGTTTACGATTGAGTATGGATGTGGTTAAAGCGGTCATATCTGATTAGTGGGTGTGGTTAGGGCGGGTCAAATAATAGTGGGTGTGGTTAAGGTGGGGTCATACCTGCCAAAGGTGGGGCTGATGAAGGCAGGGTGTCTGAACATTGCTGCCCCAAGGAAGGTGCCCAAGCCCAGTGGGGGTGCTGAGCTGGCTGGTGGGGGAGGCAGGCCTGGAAAGGCAGCAGTCCAGGCAGACTCAAGGGCAGGGTGGTGGTGGGGGGGAAAGGGGCTGCCCTCAAGGTAGTGGCTCAGTGGGTGGGCGGCCGCCAGCGGGCCGGAGAACGGCAGCCCTGAGGGGTGTGTTTGGACTCCCGCCTTCTCCCGCTTCCTCCACTTGGCCCGGCGGTTCTGGAACCAGACCTGCAGATTGACAGAGGAGGTATTACACATGGGCTGGCTTCAGTGGACTGGGAGTTTAGGGAAGCATCTCAAGCCCATGCATCTGTGTCTGGCCAGCTGCCGTTCCGAAGATGGATGCAGGTGATGGGGAGCAGACGCCTCTCGAGGCTTGAGGTGATCGTGTGCAGAACTTAACCCCATAGCAACTGCTGTGGGACAGGCCCGGTACCCCAGACAGGCACGGTGCTGCTGTAGGACGGGCCTGGCACCCCGGATGGGCACGGTGCTGCTGTGGGACGGGCCCGGCACCCCGGATGGGCAAGGTGTTGCTATGGGACGGGCCCGGCACCCCGGATGGGCAAGGTGCTGCTGTGGGACGGGCCTGGCACCCCGGATGGGCACGGTGCTACATGTTTTCAGGACTGCTAGGCAGCAGCTCGGCAGCAGGGGCAGGAAGCCGTCTATCCACTTAACACCCGGCTTCCACACGCTAACAAGGTGACAAACAGCCGCAGAGTCGGCAGTAATTGCCCGTATGCGAAGCCTTCAGCTCACCGCTACGCTAAGTTTGCTAATTAAAATCTGGTTTAGACAGCCTGACAGCTGGGAGGGGAGGCTGTAATTAAGAAGCATGGTAACAAAAGAGGGGGCCAGAGCCACTCGCCAGCCGCTAATAATAATTAATGCTCTTTAAATGAAATTCTCAGAAAAAAAAATAAGCGGCTGCGGGAGTTATTTAACTTTCCCGTGACTTTCCCCCTGGGCCTGGACTGCCACGGCGATCTGTACCATGGAGAAAATGTCAACAGTAAAGAAAATGTGGGGTGTGTGTGCGTTGGGGGGGGGG